CTTTCCCTCCACAGCTAAGAACAAACCTGCCGCCCACAAAGCAATAGGAAAATCCTCCACTTTAAATACTTACTCTCAGACTGGAAGAGGAAACCATGCAGCCATACAGCAGTAAGAGTAGAAGCAAACGTCAGTGCCATCAACTGCCAGGGTTCGAGTCCATCGCACCAGGCATTCACGAAGCTTGTTGCTTTCTCCCAGTACATCTGGAGGATTTCCTTATAGGGGATAATGGCATCCTACACAAAGGAAAACAAGGTGACTGATGGTGAGAAAACAGCCATGTTCCAATGCACACAAACAGGGCATCAGAAACGCTTTAATGAGAGAACTGCCTCCCATATAAGTCTATTGCCTATTTAAAAAGGGCTACTTCAGCATGCAGATCACGCGCTTTTCTTAATTCTTCCTATACACGGAACGGGCAGGACATGGTTATCATTCGTTTCCAATCAAAATCCACTGATAAGCATACACAGCTTGAGACACTGAACATTCAGAGAGAAGGGCCGCTGGCGGATGAGCAAGATGCGCAAGCCTCCAACGCCCATCAGGAGACCTCAAAGCGAGATATGCAGCAAGCGCCCGAATCTTACTACAGACAAAACAAACAGGAGCAACTGCATTAATCTCGACATTATTTCCAAGGACTTATCAGGTCAGGTGGCAAACGAAGGATGAACTACTACAGCTCTTCCATTAGAGAGGAGTTACCACTCACCAGGTATCACCAAACAGGTCTATCCAGGTACCTATGGCTGGGTTTTTAAAGACGACGCAAGTACGCAGCAGCTTTCCCAGTTTAAGACCTAATTATTACACTCCTTACAAAGGGAGGGCTGCAGAGACAAACCCTGCTGGAAGAGAAAGGGGGAGGGGGGAAGAAACCCTGCAAATCGTGATGCAATCACAATTATTATGTTAAACTAGTAATTACGGCAGGGCCAGAGCCCAAGTACCCAGTCAACAGCTTCAAAGCTAGTCTCTTCAACTGTCTCAAAAGAACAGGGTGGGGAAAACTGGATGTACAAAAGGGAAAAAGGCCATTTCCCTCAAACATAAGTCTTTAGCGCAATACTCTGTAAAAGGGTTCTTGAGCTAAGAAGAATCCAGGTAACCACATGTTGTCTAGAGCTAGGACACAAATAAGTATTTGGGGGTCTTGCTGTATGGTACAGATAAAAGCTTGTGCATTTTGTTTCATTTCTTTAAGCTCTGGCAGACTCTTTCCAACCCTTCTCCCCTTTTAACACACTGTCAAACCTGGTTTGCCCCGGGTTCGCTGGAGAACTTTCTGGGGGAATCTCAAACGTGCTACAAAGCTTCATCTGCCAAACAATGGAAAAGGTACCCTGGGCCTTCCAGATTTGTTAATAAATCCGTGGATGGGAAGAAATATGGCCTTGATATGACATATTCCCTTGACGATGTCATAAGCATGGTGGTTTTAGAGTAGCCTGCAAAGAGTTTTGCAAGTCAAAAGCTGCTAAAACTTCCCTTCTCAGCACTCTCTATAGATCTCACTTCTGGGTCAAGTTAACAACAGAAGCAGCATTTAATTTTTTTTAGGTCACCATTTAGGGGTGCAACCAGAGAGACTACAAACTGCTTTAAAAAAAGAGCAAAAAAAAAAAATCACCAAAAAAACAAGTTTTACCAAAGGAGGAAGGCAGGATTCCTTACAAAAAACACTACTGAACTTCCACTACTTTGAGGAACGGAAAAAAAAAAAAAATCAGTAAAATACACGTAATGTGAGAGAGGTTAAACACTCTTAAGCATCCCCGAAATAAGGGTAAAACAACAGCATCAACCCATCACAAGAGAGTAGAATCACCCACAAGCTAAAAGAAGTGGACCAAACTAGGCAAAAACGTTTCTGCACATAAGGAGCGGCACGTCAAATTAGCACCCATTTACTTGGCAAAGCACAATTTAAAAATACCCCAGCTATGTTGGCCTGGAAACTAGACAGCTGCATGAACCGCTACAATTAGGAAACATCAGAGTTAATGCCCACTCCCACAACCCAGTCACCACAAAGCTGGTTTAACCCTCGAATTTAGAGGGAGAGCTACCTTTTCCAGCTAATCAAAGGCGCTTCTAAAGTATCATTGAAGTTGCTCAATCTTCTCAGGGGGAAAAAAAAAATGGAAAGCGGCGCTTGACTGTGCAGAAGCCAACAACCATGACTTCGGTTGATAGGCACTAACGCCTGGATATCATCCAGTTTTGAAACAGCACTGAGAAGGATGGCAACGGAGCCACCAACCTATCGGTTTCTTCATAGCTGTTCTCAACTGATGGCAAGAAAACGCTGTAGTATCCAAATATAGAGTGGTGCTTTTTTTTTTTCCTCCTGAAAATGGAGAATACTGTAAGCTGACTGTCCCAAATCAAAACTGAGCATTACATTTTAGGTAGAAGTCACATAAGGCAACGGCCAACTAATAAATCTGGCAACGAACCGTTCTCACTCCAACGAGCTGATCTCACTCTTGGATGAGGATCTGGACAGAAGACCTCAGCCAGCACCACATTTTGGTGTCAAATCACACGCTCCTCACCGAAATCCCTGCATTTTGAAGGGACGGAGGGAAAAGAAAATAAGTCCGCTTTTCTAGACCCAGCCAAGCTGCACAATACCAATAGCAAATCCTGCAGGTTACAAGAGGCATACGTGCACCCACAGGCCCCTCCTGTCCTTCTCTGCCCATGACCTCATCAAACCCGTGGCCTGCTCTGCAAATTCAGACTGCTCGACTCCAGACTCGCTTCTGCAGCGCGTGACCCTGCCTTACAGCAACGCCAGCGTGCTGCCGCACAAAGCTATTTCCTCAGCTGCTATCAGCTGCAAAGGCTCAGGTGCACAGTGAGGACATCACAGCTGAATGAGCAACACATGAGCTGACCCACCTGCCTTCCTGCTCTCTGCCTACTGCAAATGCGAGCTAACATGCCTTGGCTTACACTCCTGCTACTCAGATGCAAACCAAAATATTTTACCTTCAGCTTACCCCCAGCCAAAAGCACGCAGGCTGCTACCGCAGCTCAACCGATAGCTGGCAGCTCAATGATGTGCCTAAGCTTTGAACGAACAACGAAAGAGCTTCACGCTGTTAATCCTAACTCGCTGAAAAACTTCTTTCCCTTTTTCAGTTCAAAAAAACACAAACACACAAAACACACACATACACAGAGGGATCTCTCCACAAAGGAGCACAGTTTGACAGAGGGAGATTTTCCTCTCTATACTTCTCACTCTGTACTTCAGCCATCTCACTTGGCTTCCAGACTCCTTGAGAGTTGGAAGGACGAGATTGATCAAGTTAGGATATTAAAAACAGGGATTTTAAAAAAGATTTTTAAAAGGTGGTGATTGGCATGCAAGAAGAGTTAGCTACGAAATATAAATTCTCAGCTCCTTGGCTAATAAGTATCCAGAGATTTTAAAGTGCTTTTTTCCCCAAAATATTCAGTAAGGTAAGCGAGACCTCTGCTTTCCAAATTACTAACTTAATCCTGGAGAACCTGGGAACTGCATTTAAGTGTAATCTATTTTTACGACATCCACCAACCTGCAGTGCTAGCCTCGCTCCTGCGGTTCTACGCTGCTTCCTTATTCTATGGGGAGGCAGCGGCAGGGGGAACAAATAGCCTATGCTCAGCCAAATCATTTGAATTCCTTCCCTTCAGGTGCTGGGGAGGCGGCTCCCGATAGAGGGAAAAATAGGTTTTTGCACCAAACCAACCCATGCAAGAAGAAGGGATGCACTTCCAGCTTTGCGGGATTATCACTTCCCCTCTCCTCTGCTATTGCCACTTTCCCAGCTGGGCTAAAGGCAACGAGCTGGCCCCATTACAACTCAATACTCAAGACAGAGTCCCATGTAAGATGATAACCTGCGTTATGTGTGAAGGCATTTCAGAAAAAAAGCTTTCCCTTCCTACTACAGGAGAGTGGATAAGTAATTCCCCCCCCCCAAAAGAACTTTCCCCCAACAAAAAAAGCTACCCAACTTCATGAGATACAGGATTATTCTAGACTCAATTTAAAAGCCTGACTTATGAGCGCATTAATAAGTATGGGAGAAAATCTCCACTAGAGGATTTCTTCTTAATTCTCAGAGCACTAAGGTAGATCCAGGTATTAGATAAAGTTACTAACTGCTATCATTAGGATAGGCACTATTCATTTGTACCAATATTAATGCACTTGGCAAGCCAAGCAGTTTACATATTGCATTTTTAGCTACACAGATTTAGGAATACATCCGTAGGACTTTATTTCTGAAAGCCATTAGCTAGCTGAGCCATTTCAGGGATAGCACTTGCACTGCTACAAAAGGGGACACATTAACTGCACTAATGCTCTTCTGTCCCAGATGATAGGAAAGAGGAGGGGAAAAAACGCCAAAGCTAATAAGAGCAGATTTTGTAGTTCTGCCAGAACAGCGTCTCCTTGGCAGCCAGTTTTAGAACTGTAATAAGTCCTTGTATATCATTTTTAAAAAAGTGCAGAAAGGTGATAAACCAACAAACTTCGCACTTCCATTACAGCGTGCGACAGGCACCTGCTTCCCATTCCTTCTACAACTCCTACGCGTCGCCACGGCTGTACGTCAAAAAATCATCCTGGACAGGCAACGCAGGTTGGCAGCGGCTTCACCCGGACCAGTGCCGACGGAGGGGTAACACGGCCACGCGCTGGGGCTGGAGCCAGCCCGGCCGCGCTCCCAAGCCAGAATCTCAACATTCAAGTCAGGAGGTGGGCACACAGAGCGAGGCCAGACGCAGGTCAGAAATTAAGACTTGTGAACCTCAAGATACATGGGAAAGAAAGCCACGTTCAGGTCGTGCTCATCATACCTCAGCTTGCTGGTACCATCACCTTCCTCGCTGTTACACTTCTTTCCAGCACTGCCACCCTCAAAACTTTTTATTTTTTGCTATTTAGAGGGATGGCAATTTTTCCGTCATATAAAACACATGCAAAATAATATACACGCACTATCCCAGCAGCCTGGAGGGCTCAAGGGGAGTGGCTGGAGAATGGCTAATTATAGCTTTCGCACAAAAATAAACAAGGCAGCAACTGAGACTCAGAGCAGCAGCACCCCTGGGTTCCACTTCTCAGAGGCAACACAAACCCTCAGAACAGGATGTTATAAAAGCTAATTCCAAACTCAAAAAACACTGTGGTCTTTATGACAATCCAAAGGACTTTCAAAATCAGGTGAGATTTCAGATTTCATTTGTTTGGGGGGGGGAGGGGGGGAAATACAAGCAGTGGTTACTATGAAGAGCCTCATCGATGCTCCCCTTAGAAAGTAAAAGGGAAACTAAACAGAGTAGGAAACAGACTTCCACTACCGCAATGGTATTTACCCGAAAATCGCATACAAGATACTACCTAGGCCACTTCATTCCCTAAAATAAACCGATTCATAAAAGCAAAGTTGCTGCACAACTCTCGGCAGCCAGGCACACTCTCGATAGCGCAGACCCCAAATCTCAGAAGAGAAGGGATCTGCTCTGTTTCTGCCCTACATGAACCTACTGCAGGTCTCCTGAAGGGCCACTGGCTCCAAGAAGGGGCAGTTTCTGCTTGGAAACCTCCTCCCGGCATACACAGCGATCAGGATAAAAGAAGCGTTGGGTCCTCCGTGCACTAGGACTCCTCCAGACACAATCCTTCACTCCTCTGCTCGGCATCCTCTCCCAGGCAGATCACGCAGCCCCTTCCCAAGCTCCTTTTGGAGAACAAAACGGGGATTTATTCAAAACATTTTGCGAGCAGCTCGGTGCCACACAGAGGTACGCAAAGCATTTGAAAATAAAGCCTTGGAGGGAGCTGCCTGGAAGCAGACGAGAGCCGAAGCACGTTGCAATTGTTCGGGGAAGCGGCAGCGGAGCGCAGAGGCGGCCGGGTGCCCTGGCACAGCTTCCCCGTGGGTTACACAAGCCTTTGAGAAAACCACCAGTATCAGCACAAACCAAACACCACTGTTAGACAATAAGGGTCCTCTCCTCCGGCAACTCTGACCACCGCGCAGAAGCCGCAAAGGCTCTCTTATCAATACCAGCCTAGCGTTGTGCAAAAAAGCCCTTCTGCCCTTGCGAAACCCTGTCACGTGCCCTTCCTGGTGCTTCGCACAGAAGGCTCTTCATGAGCTAGAAGGGACAAACAAAACAAAAATTCCCCGAACACGAGGACTTGCAAGAGACCATGGCCTGCAAACTTCTGGGAAACGCAAATCTTTTCTGAAAAGCAGCCAGCTGTCTACAGGCACCTCTGGCAGCTGCTGGGTGACCCCAATCCGAGGGAACCAAATCTCAGCTTCACATCATACTCTAAGGACAGCATTAAAACATACTGAAAAGCAGGATCTAACTTTGAACGAATGCCCTTTTCACACCAGAATTAAGCGTGCTTTGCAGCAAAGGCAAATAGCACCTCAGAATCTGTATTCATGGAAGTTTTCAGACTCTACTGACTCCCTTTTCTCAGGACAGTCACAACAAGGTTTCAAACACTACCACAGCAATCAAACCGTGCACGCACAACAAATGCTGTGATCAGGTTCAACTTCGGACCACCGAACAACAGCGGGAAGGTACCCTGGAGAAAACAAAGGCCAGGAGCAAGGCGTCCTCTCCACAGCAGAAGTCAGCAGATCCTCCCCTGCTCGGGTTCCCGATTTGCCTATAGCCTGTAAGAGTAGCGAGAGGGTGGAAAACTTAGCAGGCTGAAAGTGTGCAGCGGATGGGAGAAGCAAGATTTTTTTTTTTCCCTTCATTTAGGCAAAAAAAAAATTTCCAAAGTCTCACAATCCCCTTTGCTGAGGGCACGGGAAGGATCACAGACTGAAACCACACCTCAGGAAAAATGCCATAGATTGGTGGCTCTCCAGAGAAAGCTTCAACCCCTGAATATATAGCCAACTTCGTTAGCTTTCCAGACACCAATAACCCTTTGCAAAAGCTGATGTCTAGTCTCATGAATAAGACAGCTAAGCTGCACAGGTCTTCCAGGCATTGCAAGTAGCCATACGCTCAACAAAGCCTTGGCAAGGAGAGACCACAAGGCGAACGGCCTGATCACACCACACGCTTCCAGAAATCTCGGGCCAGTCTAGAGCAGACGGCACACAAGATGCGCCGTAGTTATTCAGTGCCAAAAAAGCGAACTTTTGACAGCCAAAAGCCACCAGAACAAGCGGCACGAGGAGCCACGAGGACAGAAAAAGTAATTGCCGACACTGTCCCCAGACGGCGTGGGCAGGCACGAGGCCTTGCCTCCATCCCTCCCACGGAGGTGGTGACACACTGGCTGGGCACAGCTCCACATCAGAGTCGAAACAGGAAGCAGCACTTGACTGCTTGGGCATGAATGACCTTTCCCTGGCTCCCACTAGGGAAA